AATATCGATATATTTTTTACAAATTTTATATTATATTTTCAAATTTATATTCTATTAAAAAATAAAAACATTATATCTTTTTCAAAACCAAATAAAATTGTATTATATCGGCATAGATAAAAAATAAAACGAAACATTACAATGAAAATGTGTCTCGATGCATTACACGAGTACCCTTCTAATATATATATATATATATATATATATATATATCCAAATAATCAAATGTAAATGTGAGAACCATTATTCTAAAACAATATTATTTTAGATGATTTTTTTTTATTTAAGGCTAAAATTTAATATATATTTGTTTTAAATGTGTTTAAATTCATAATGTGAAATTTTTTATTTTTATTTTGTGTTTCACAATTGTATAGAAAATGTTCAAATTGTAAATCAAATATATGTTGATCAATACACTAAATTCAAAACGTGGATAAAAAATCGTGCAAAATAATACATAATGTACCGATCCTTAAGATTATTATAATTTTATAGATTTTCAAATATAAATCAACTATATATATATATATATATATATGTATATAGGGTTGAGTTCACGTGAGACCCAAGGTTTTTCGTGAGACCCGTAAGACCAATTTACGTTCATTGATCAACTTTATAAGCTAATGATCTAATGGTCTAAAATTGCACAGTGGCAATTTTGTGATTATTGAGAACTCACGTGGCGTTTGTGAATGTTTAGATCTAACGGTTGTAGATCTAATCCAAGGGTTGAAAATTGGTCTTACGGGTCTCACGAAAAACGTTTGGTCTCACATGATCCCAAGTCTATGTATATATATATATATATATATATATATATGGGGATAAGATTAGGGACCACATCAAAAATGAAAAAGAAAAAAAACTGAATAATGAAAAAAAATGGATATCTATATTATTTATAAAGCATTTGACAAAACTATTAAAAATCATTCTTTATACATGAAGTACTATTTATTAATGTATATTACTTAAAATTTAAGATTACAATTAATTGTGCGTAAGTACAACTTATTAAACCTCCATTTTTGAATTCGTGTAACTAACTGTAAATAAACATAAACAAATACAACATGAATATCTTATTTAAAAAATCTAAAATATAATTAGGATAACCATTGAGTTATAACAAAATATTAATTCTTATCTTTAAGAAAAAAATAATATTATTAACTCAAAAATAAATGACTTCATTATTAAATCCAAATTAAATTATAATAAAAAATTAAATTAAAGAAATTACATAAAAGAACAAGAATTTTTTAATATTTAATTTGATACTAAAATCGATACATTTTTTTTCAAAATTTTATGATATTTTCAATTTTATATTTTATTTAAAAAATAAAAACATTATCGTTTTTTCAGTATCACATAAAATCGTATTATAGCATCGACAAAAACAAAATAAAAATAATATATTAAGATCGAGATGTATCTCGTTGGATTGTACGAAAACCCTTCTAATATATATATATATATATATATATATATATATATGTATGTATAATATTTTATAGGGTTTGATTTCAGTGAGAATGAAAGTTCAGATGAAAATAGAAATGATCTCCACTCTTTGATGTACATTAGGATGAGATGCACTCAGATGCATCAGATCAATCCCCGTATCAAACATAAGTCATGAATGAGTTTGAGATTAAAGGTGATCAATTGTTCAGATCTCTTACTATGATTCTCACCTTAACTCTCTTTTTTCACACGATCATTTGTCTAATCTTCATTTGACAACCCATAAAATTGTGATAATTTTGAGAACCAGTACAACATTTGCTATTTCACATGATTTTTCAATGTACAACATGGATTTAGTGATCGTTTACTCAACACTTACCCGATTATCGTTTGCACCCAAGAGTCAATGTTTTAACTCAATCTACCGGGTAAATTTTAGTCCATTAAAAATGACATTTATGCAATAATTTATCCGGTAAACGAGTCGTTACTCTTACTTACTAGGTTAGACCATCGGTCCTTGTCATTACTCGTACTGATAAAGATTCTCAATCTTTTCATCCAATAAAGTAAAGTGGCTCATTACCACTTATCATGTAAACATTTAATAAATGGCCCATAAGAGATATTTGTTTCATATGTTTGTGAAACAAAATATAAAACTAAAAAGTGTCACATTATAAATCAAATACATATGAAATAAACACATTGTGAAACCAATGTATGTTAATCAAAATGTTAAATTCAAGACTTAGCTAGAGAAAAATCATCTGAAACAATACTTTGTGATAATAATTCTCACAGTTATCAAAATATATGTGATTTTCAAATGATTGTGTGTGTGTGTGTATATATATATATATATATATAAGAGGACGTTTCAAATGCAACACATCACATTTGTACAAGCAATGCAACTCAATCAATGGAGATATTTATGGATATGATGAGAGTTCATTTATTATGATTTGTATATTTGTGGAAAATTACTAAAGTTCATTAATTATGTTCAATATTTTATATTAAGAAAACAATCTAAATTTTTATGAAATCATATATTCATCAAATTAAATGGACGGTTGAAATTGAATTGTATTGGTTGTAAAATATAAAAGGTTGCATAATAACTCATATATATATATATATATATTATATATGCATATATATATATATATTATATATGTATATATATATATATACATGTGATCTATAGAGGTTCGAATGAAAGGAAAGCTAGAAGATGAGAAGGAGCTTACGGAGCTGACGACGGCGGCGAAGAAGAGGAGGTTGAAGAGCAGAAGGTTGAGTTTAGAAATGGAAGCCATTGTCAATTGATAATGTGATAATAAAGGTGTGGAGGGGGATGATATATATATAGACCTAAAGGACGACGTCGTTTGGGTGAGTTTTGAGTTTATAACCATGTGATATGCATGTTTCAATGACACGTCGAAATAAATGCATCCATGCCAGCATTTATTTTTTGTTCCAATTGAAGTTCCAAAAACATAATTTTAAACATGTTTTCAAGAGTGTGTATGATAAAAAATACGTGTAGTTTTGAAAATTATTTATTTTAAGAAGTAATTTTCAAAATAAATGCAAAAGT